ATAGGTAGTTATTCAGGCCCCTAAAAAAACCCAAGCCCTAAAGACCTTGAGTATCAGGGAAGCTTCTAGGAGAGCTTGGTCGAGCCCAGCCCCTACCTCTCCTTCTCAACATCGGCGGTGGATCCAAAATTCGAGGGTTTAGAGTTTTGAGTATGGGATTTAGGGTTTCGGGTTCAGGATTGAGTGTGCTTTTTTGGGTGTTTTGAAGCGATTGGATCACACGTGCACTCAGGTGGGTAGTTGTATAGATTAGGGTCCCTTACTAAGAGCCTCGCCTTCGCCTGTCCTGTCCTGGAGAATTGGGGAGAAGACTGGATCGCCTTGAGGACGACGTGGCCACCGGCACGCACCTCTACCTGCATGCCTTCCTGGGACGAAATCCTACACCCTAAACCCATATCCCATAAACCGTGAGTCCAAAACCAGAAACCCCGAACCCTGAACCCTAAACCTTCAAACCCATCGACGCATGAACCCTGAACCCTCCAGACTCGCGGATCTGAGGTCTCAATATGACGGTGGTTCTCTAAATTTGGGTCCCCTGTAGCGTTCATCATCAAAAGATATAAGAGTGTCTATACGCGTACTAACTAAGGGTCATAATGGTACCGTACTATTGTTGTGACTTACAAAGGAACCCCAATTTAGAGAACTACCTCTGTCGCTATCTGAAGTAAACAGTTTCCTCATTATAGTAGCTTGGATAAAGTTCTTTAACAAGAACCCCGAAAATTAGTGGCACTTGTGTTTCGGGTCAAGATGCTACTGTTTAGATTTTCTATGAGGGCCCCTTGTTTTCGGAAACTCCCGTATAGACCACTGAAGCCGTAGTACAGCAGGAGCTTTAGTAGTTAGAGTAGCACTTTCTGTGTCTAATGTACTTTGGTTGTAGTAGTAATAAGGAAGGCACGAGTGACGATTCAAAACACCCTAACCTTACAACCCAAACCGCTATGTTCGAGCCTTGAAGCAGGACCCCCCAACCTCACACCCTGGGAAAATACGAGTTAAGTCGCCGGTCCGAGTTCTGCAACCCGAAGCCCCAAACCTTCATGCTCCATCCCCAAACTCAATATCCGAAGAAGCCCCGAAGCGTGAGCCCGAGGCTTTGAGTCCGGTGTAGAGTTTAGGGTGTAGGGTTTAGGGAAGCCCCATTCTTCTTCAAAAGGTCCTCATCATCTCCACCGACCCAGCACACTCTTTGGGCGATGCCCTGGGATGCAAACTTTCGGCGTCTCGGCGCCTTAAGACCGAAGCAGTGGGCCAGCCACTCTCGGTTTGGTGTGTGTTTAGGCTTTAGGGGTTTAGGGTTTACCTATACTATTTTGGGGATTCCTTCTTACAAATATAGTATAATATACCCCCAAACCCTGTTCTAATTATTGAGGCCCCTGCATAGGGGCAGTGTGACCGGCTAGGTGGGCGAGAAATGAAGGCTTTCAGTTTGCCATGCCGAGGCGTCCGCGCAAGCGGTGGAGAACTTTGCGGGCTCTGGAGAGCTGTTTGCTATGGAGGTGTCGAACTCCGACTATGGGGCCTTAATAATTAGAATAGGGTTTTGGGGTATATTATATACTAAAATAATAGTAAGGGACACCCCAAACCCTTATTGGAATTATTAAAGCCCCTACAGTAGGTAGCGGTCCCTGTATTTTCTTGGTTGTTTGATTCCTCTTATTTTGCAGCGAACCTCAGAATCTCCATGTCTTACCCCTGGCCTTCAATAATGGTCCCGCGCTACCCATGCGTTGAGAGTATTCCTTACAGTAGAAGCTCGGAGTCTCAGTCCCGGGGTGCATGGTTTTGACCTGGCATGGCGTCCTTCCGGGGTTTAGGGTTTAGGGTTTAGGATTTAGGGTTTAGGATTTAGGGTTTTGGGATTTTGAGGGAGCACCTGTCTGAATTTTGGGTAATTACTCGGCTCGTAAACCTGGAAGCATTCCGGAAGCTTGGGGACGGGGTTATAATTTGTCTCTAGGATAAAATAATAAAAAGGGTATGTCTCAGTGCGTAGGGCTTGATGCGCAGGAGCCGCAAGGCTCGATAGTAGCTGCTTGACTTATTGTTACTGTTTGTATGTCCGAACATGGTTTGAAGCTAGATTACCTAATCCAGCAGTATTTATGTGCCACAAGCCTCAGCCCTAAGCCCCTAAGCCAGTAGAGCCCCTAACCCTGCACAACATGCCCTAAACCTCAGAACTCTTACCCGTAAGGCGCCTGTACCAGTGTGTTTTTTTCGCCTGTTGTACCCCAATAAGACCAAGCTAAACCTGGCCCTTGCGGGTTTCTGGAGATGCCACAAAAGTTGAAGATTGTCATTTTTGTCTCGGAGCTCTTGAACCTAGGACATTTTCAGGTGGGTAGTTACCGTTATAGGAGCCTTATAGAAGGTCTATATACCTTGTTGAAGCCTTATAGAAGCCCTATATACCCTAAACTCCCTACCTGTAGTTTCCTTTAACTGAAAGCCCGAATCTAGACCTTGGATGATCAAACACCCTTCACTGACCAAGGACTGCATTGGAGCAGAGGCCCTGAAAGAACCCGGACTTTTTCAGTCGCTGGTAAGGCCCTATATTGAATAAATATCCTACAGCCCAAACCCTCGACCCTATACACTACACTCCACAACCCTGTAGCCCTAAACCCTCAACCCTAAAAGAATCCCTGTACCCCAAAAAGCCTTCCTTTTTAAGGATAGAACACTTACATAAGGAACGTATCATAAGGAACCCTAACAAAGTAGGTTCTCAAGGCGTCAGGTTTACACTAAGAGTTTGAGCCCTAAACCCTAAACCCTCCACGTTAAACCCTAAACCCTACACCATAAAACCCATAAGCCCTAAACCCTCTACCATAAAACCCCAAACCCTAAACCCTCATAAAACCTCAGCCCCCGAAAGTCCTTAGAAGCCGCCCTAAGATTTGCGCCGCGGAGGTCGACACGGCCGCCGCCATGAAACGCTTCCAGGACACCGCCGAGACCTCAGAAGCTCTACGCTTCAGGACCCAAAAAGCGCGTAAGCATAAGCATGTTTGTGCTTATAAGGGTGTTTATATGGGATATCCCTATCCTAATTTTTGCTTATGGTGCCCTATATGTTTCGAGAAGCACGAGGGTTTAGGGTTTGGGGGTTTAGGGGTTGAGGGTTTAGGGGGTTTAGGGTTTAGGGGTTTAGGGTTTGGGGGGCTTCGGGGACCTGGGACTCTAATTACCTACGGTTTTATGGGTTCAGGGCTTCATTCGGGTTTGCCTGGGACTAAAAACCTACAGGTTTATGGGTTCTAAGGGGTATAATGGATGCCAAACTCTAATTTTGGGGTCATGGCTGCTAAACTGTAGGCAAGGAGAGTTACAGGTACCCTTCGAGAAGCCCGACGCAAGGGTTTAGTGGTTTAGGGGTAGGGTTTAGGGGTTGAGGGCTCAGGGTTTGGGGGTTTAGCGGTTGAGGGTATGGGGGTTTAGGGGTTAGGGCTTTAGGGGTTTAGGGTGGTTTAGGGTTGAGGGTTGAAGGGACTAAGGGCTCAGAGCATTGCAGTCCCTGCTCAACAAAGGGGTTTAGGGTTTAGGATCCGAAATGCAGCTTCAGGTGTCTGCCAGGGTGTTATGGGTTGTTATAGGTTTTTGGGGCTTGTATAGGGTGTTTATGCTTGGTGAAGTGGCTGTTGGGGTTTTCGAGGCTCTTCAGGAGGGCTTGCCTACGAAAGTGTCACGTGGAACAGGTTGAGCGCACTAAAGGGGCGGGGTTCTGGATCGGGGGCCTTAGGGCTTCGATGGTTTAGGTGGCTTTCGGGGTTCAGACAGTCAGATTTCGGGGTTCAACGTTTACAATACTACGGTCCAGGGTTCTGGATTCAGGGCCTTTAGGGTGTGTGCAACAATGAAGGGTGACCATTGAGAAAGCATCGGGTTCGGGGTTTAACTGGGTCTTTGTTGGCTACAACTTCACGTTGTTGTTACAATACAACCCAACAAGGATTAACAATGATCATTTTGAATATAGCCCCAACAGGGAACCAGGTAAGAGATGAGAAGTTTTGGGTTCAGCCTGAAGCGATTTTTTTGCAGAAGCTGCTGAGATTGCAGTAGGGTTTAGGGCTTAGGGTGTAGGGAGTCGTGTTGAGTCGTGCTTGTGTGCGGTGTACCTGGATCTTGGGGTTCTGTTGTGGCAATGTGACGGCCTTTTTTTGTCAAACCCTAGATGCTATAGCCCGAGACCCCAACCCAAGTCCAGCAGATCTGCCTTCGACCCTGAGGTATCCTGCTGCTGGATTTCAAGCTTTCTAAACACTTCACTGTCACTAGCAAAAAGGGCAAATCATTCCATCGACTATAGAACCACCCTTGATGTGACACTGTATTCCTGCGTCACGGGGTATTGCGCTCTTTGGACATCGGGTTGCTTGGGGTTCCGCGATACCCTGAAGTCTTACACCATGCATCAAACTCGAAAGTCGTACAGCCGCGAACGAGCTGAACAATTGGGGACCCTATTTTTTTTAGCCCTTTTTTTTTTTTTTT